TGGCTCCGACGATCTTGGGGCTGTCGGCTAGGTGAGGCCAGCGGCTACTCAGTTTTGGTACGTCGATCTGTTGCTCAGGTAAGTCCATCTTGCTTACTGTCCTCACGTTGTCCAGTGAAAACGTTCCACCGTCTCCTTCAACTTCGACACGGACACTCTGCGACCGTTTGTCTGTCTGATTGCTGTCATCAGTCCAGGTGAGAAACAGCGGGCGACGGGGTCCTTCGGCTCCAATCTCCTTGGCAATGGCAGCATCCATAAGGGTCACCGTGGAGGCCTCGTCAAGGAGAGCTGACGTACGGACTTCACCAGATGGGCCTCGGATCGTCACTGGGACTGTGCGTAGGATGACTCGGTCGCGCCGGTTGCATTTGCCGACAAGATACGTATGTCCTTCCACAGCTTGAGAGCTTGTGTTGGGCTGATCTGGATTCTTGCCACTAGTGCGTGTGTCGTCCGGTCGTTTAGCTGGGTGTAGCAGATGGTGGTGCAAGCGGTCGCACCCTTGCAACCCACATGGCTTCTTGCTCGGGCAGTTACCGCATCGATGCCCATGAGCTAGGCAGGTGAAGCAACGACTCTCGGCCCTTATCCATTTCCAGCGATCGTTGACGCTCTTCTTGGCAAACGTTCGACAGTCCCGAGTGGCGTGGCCGGACCGTTTGCAGAAGGCACATTGCTTCTCGGTGGCGGCGAACGTGCTGCCTCGATGGAATGTGGGGCGCTTCGCACTATCCGCCGGGAACATAGCTGGTCGCTTCACGCGGGACACAGCATCCGCTCTCTCCTCCAGCCACTCTGCTAACGTTTCGAGGGTCACTTCCTGGTCCCGAGTGCGTATGTGCTCCCCCCATAAACGTCGTAGGCTGCTGGGGAGTTTGGAGACGATCTCTTGTCGCAGCGCTGGGTTTGTTATGTGTCCCGTGCTCTCCATCAGCTGCATCGTTGCCACGAGGTTCCCTACCACATTGGCAAGGTCGATCAGTGCTTCAAAGTCCTCTTCTTTCACCGCTCTCTGCTTCTGAGCGTTGTCAATGATGGTTTGTATGACCTGTTCTGGCTGTCCGAAGCGGGTTTCAAGAGTCCGAATGACTCTATCCACATTGTCTGGAATAACGAGCATGGCCATGACTGCCTCTTTGGCTTTACCACCCAACGCCTTCTGGAGGCGTGCCATGTTCTCATGGTTGCTGAAACCGCACTCCTGTGTTGAGACACGGTACATATGGTGGAACATTGGCCATGTAGCAGGGTTTCCAGAGAAATTTGGTAGGTCTCTCCCAGCTGATTGTCTCGCCACCATTCTCTGGAGATCACTCGGGTGGGATTCCGCTGGTTGCGTCTGCGCATTTGCCACAGGTAAGCGTTCGGCCAGAACCTGGGCCAGCTGCGCCATGGCTGTCGTCATCGTCCTTCCAACTGAGTCTGACACAGTGGATGCCGAATCCACTCCAGCTGTGGCTGTACTGGGCGCTTTGGCACGTTGGTCGGTTGGAGGGGCGGCCTCGTGTGTGCCCTGGCGGTATGCGCCGAGCTGACTCTTCAGCTCTTCCAGCTCAGATTCCTGGGCACTCAACTCACGTTCCAGCTCTCTTCTCTCATTCCCGCGGGCTTCAGCCTCTTGTGCCAGCTCCTCCCCGACGCCGTCAAGTTGTTTCGCTTGGCTGGCGACCTGAGCCTGAACGTCTGCTAGTGCTCGGCGCTGCAACTCGAGCTGTCTGTCGCGGGCAGTGAGTTCCTGTCTTAGGACCGCAGACTCTTTCTTTTCAGCGCTCAGTCTGCAAGTAAGATCGGACCTTTGGTCTTCTGCGGCCTGCAGTGTATTACAAAGCTCGTGATGTGCAGAGGCTTCGAGGGCCAGCCTGTCACAGTACGCACGCTCTTTACATTCCATTTCCATGGTCATAGCCTGCAGTTTCCTCTCAGTCTCAGCTAGGGCAAACTTAGCGGCTGACAGTTTCTGCTCACAGTATTCATGTGTACTGATGGTGTCTGGCCTGGGCTGTACTGGTGGTACGCCAGTGGCAGTGGCTGGACTCCTACATACATTTGGTACAGTGAAAGGATTCCAGTCAGAGAGCAGGTCAACAGCTGGCACAAGTGCTTGCCTTGGCATTTGACTATCACAAGCACCTGGTACCTGTACTGTCTGGCTGGGTGTATGACTGTTACTCACAGCCTGAGACCGAACTACAGTGGCTTTATCATGTTGTGGAGCGGGTGTGGTGGCTCCGACTCCAAGATGTTGTGGGCTTACTTGAGCACTAGAAATCTCTATGAGATCAGAGACTTCACGCTCACCGGTATCACGACGCAAATCCCACTGTCGTTCCTCATACTCTTCCACAGGAGGGGTACCAGCCGTATCACTATCGCTATCACCGGGAAGCTCCTCCGCATCTTCACCCAGTGCAGCTCTCCGTGCCGACAAGCGCATCTCCGAGAGCTTTCTCTGCGTGGCGAGTTCTTTCTCGCGGGCTACTCTTTCCAACTCCGCGATATTCTCTGCTTCCGCTACCTCGGCAGCAAGCAGCTTCGCTCTCTTGATGGCACTACTAGCACTAGTCCTGCTACTCTTGGTAGCATTTGTCTTCCTGGAAGACGTTGTTGACGCTGCTGTCAGCGTTGGTGACGGACTGTTCCGTCGTTTCTCCTGTTCGGAGATCATTCCTTCCGGAGAAAATCGATTGGGTTCACAACCCTTGTTCGTTCTGGTTGAGCGACGTAGCTCTTTGCCACTCTCCATGGCTTATCTCGCCTCAGAGGCGTCACAATAGCCGGCTCGAGATCCGGCTCGAAGGACCAATGTTTCTTGTACAAGTCGAGCCCAGGGCTCAACTGTACCCCACAAGTTTAGAACATCCACGAGTTCTGAAGTTGAGTATTGGAAGATTCTCTTTTCACACAACTAAATAATTGCACACTCTGCCAGCAAGGAACAAAGGAAAAAAGCCCCGACTAAAAAGGGCTACAGGCTAATATATGCACAAGGGTAGATCCACACCGTACAGTAAGAATGCACCGGAAGCGAAAGAAACAAATACCACGCGCGCAGCGTCAGGATTCTGCGCACAGCTACAGGCAGATCACGCAGTCCGCGGTGTGGACTGAAACTCCACAAAGAAAAGTAAGTCTACAATGCACTATAACCTAAGCATCGGGCCATAGATCCATAGTGGCACCGCAATGAAACACGAGAAGGATCATGCATTCACGCAATACAGTTATGATGATCACAAGTGCAACCAGCAGCATGGATACTACGGGAATCACTACTAACGGCTATGAATGATAACATAATCACACAGTAGAAAGAGGTGTCAGGTGGTTGAACAGCAGTAGTTTTGCCAACAGAGGCTATGCAGGCAGTTGCACACTCTTGGGGGTTATGTACTTTTGCTCATACCTATGTCACGTATGTCCAGTCGGAGAAACGTGATCATTGACATCTCACTGCGAACTACTTATAGCTGCTAAGCACCATAAGACATCATCAGTGGAATGTCCAGCACAGAATCCACTCTGGGTATTCGATACAAACCTATTCACAAGACCGCTTATTCAACGCAGTACAATCAATGACAGGACATTTCGTAGTCCGGTTAGATACACAATAGGGCGGAAGCTCGAGACAGGTCCCGATGCCTTTCCTGGATGTTGCAAGAGAACCACTGACCCATGGCCAATACTCCTCACGGGATACTTTGTTGGATGGCTGTACTTAAGATCAGTGCAATCTTGCCATGTACCACGGGCAGCGGGGCATACTTGGCACTCACCGAGATTATTGTCGAGGCCAGTAGCCCCTCCATCATTGAGTCTCTCCGCTGCAGAAGTCACCTCTGCTTGGGAAATCGTCAGGCGAAGTCCTGGGTAGCCAATGTCAGCTGGGAAGGGGGGGGGGGGGGGCATTGCCACCCTACCGTGTTTCCTCCCCAATACATAGCTTCTGCTGCTTCTTACACTGCTCTATCACTTGGCCTTGTTGGGTCTGCGCTGGCGTTAGCCTAAGTGGGTTGGGAAAAATGATGTATGATACAGGAAGCAAGAAGTCATTTGAATCTGCCCTCGAGCTGTTGAACACTTTTGCAAGTACTGTTAAGTACCGCCAGAGCGCCCCACCATCTCGTCCTTTCGTGGTCGTATTGTGGAGGTGATCTCCTGCCTGTTGGTCATACAATACGAACCTTGTACACATATTGCGCCTTGTGCAGTCAATCCGTACTCAATTTACCTTCAAGCGGACACAAGCTCCACACAAAATCAGCCAAGTGTGACTTTAGTATACTAAGGTTCTCACACCGTACAAACTTCGTTTCACTCTGCCATTCGATTTTCCTTTCCCTGGCTGTAAAACCAAGCTGGGGCGCTCTTGCGAGACGGGGCGCTCTCGCAGTACTTTACCATACATGTATTAGCAACTTGGCTTGCACTGCTGTTGCCAGAACTACTCTAAGAGACAGTGCTCTTATAGTATAGTGTCGACTATCCACACCACTCGGGGTGCGGGCTGTCTCTAGGGGGTTCGGATGAGAAGATCGTTTGGATAAGGGAGCAGTCACACATCTATCTAGAACATGCATATTCCCACATGTTATCATCATTTTTCTTTCTCTTTGGCAGTATAGCAGAGACTAGGAGCACTTCAGCTCCTTACAATGACACTATCGTTGTACATTTTTACTCCAACCTGTTGTAATACATATTGTGCATCGCTTGAATGGTGCTCCGAGTGGGGAAAATCAGCAATAATCTCGAAAAGCTGCTATGATCCAACCCTATCCGGATAGTCGATCAACCGGATAGTTGACGTCCGGGTAATCTTCTACTGTATTCTTTAAAAACTAGAAGCCCACCATGTGCCCCAAGTCACCAGTAGAGGCTTGGCTATTCTTATAACTCTTGATCAGGGTCACTATTAGAGACTGGGCTATTCATTACGATGTTGTATCTGATGTGGTGTGTTTGGTGGGTATGTTTGTGTTTGATGTGCCTCACAG